CAGCCTGGCTGATCCGGCACCGACTTTAGGTATCTGTCCAGCTCTCTCTCGAAGGCAGCCAGGGGTTTATTGGCAATTCCCCTAATGCTTGATGGGAGGCTGTTGAACAGTTTTGGGCCCCGGACACTTATGGTGTTTTCTCTTAGTGTACCAATGGCGCCCCTACTTTTTATTGGCGGCATTTTGCATCGCCTGCCCAGTCTTTTACTTTCGTAGGGAGTGATTTCTGTGTGCAGATTTGGGACCATTCCTTCCAAGATTTTCCAAGTGTAGATTATGATATATCTCTCCCTCCTGCGTTCCAACGAGTACAAGTCAAGTGCTTCCAAGCGTTCCCAGTAGTTAAGGTGCTTGACAGAACTTATACGTGCAGTAAAGGATCTCTGTACACTCTCTAGATCTGCGATTTCACCTGCTTTGTATGGAGATGTTAATGTACAGCAGTATTCCAGCCTAGAGAGAACAAGTGATTTGAAAAGGATCATCATGGGCTTGGCATCTCTCGTTTTGAAAGTTCTCATTATCCATCCTATCATTTTCTTTGCACGTGCGATCGTGGCACTGTTGTGATCCTTGAAAGTGAGATCCTCAGACATTACTACTCCCAGGTCCCTTACATTATTTTTCCGCTCTATTGTATGGCCGGAGTCAGTAGTATACTCTGTTCTAGTTGTTATCTCCTCCAGTTTTCCATAACGGAGTAGTTGGAATTTGTCCTCATTGAACATCATATTGTTTACCGTTGCCCACTGGAAAACTTTGTTTATATCTTCTTGGAGGTTAACCGCGTCCTCAGCAGATGACAGCCTCATGCAGATCCTAGTATCATCCGCAAAGGATGATACGGTGCTGTGGTGTATATCTGTTTATGTCTGATATGAGGATAAGGAATAAGATGGGGGCGAGTACTGTGCCTTGTGGAACAGAGCTCTTCACTATGGCAGCCTCCGATTTAACTCTGTTGACCATACTCTTTGTGTTCGATTTGTTAGGAAGTTGAAGATCCATCTCCCCACTTTCCCAGTTATTCCTTTAGCACGTATTTTATGGGCTATTACGCCATGATCGCATTTGTCAAATGCTTTTGCAAAGTCTGTGTATATTACATCTGCATTCTTATTTTCTTCCAGTGCATCCAAGGCCATGTCATAGTGATCCAGTAGTTGTGAGAGGCAGGAGCGACCTGCCCTGAACCCATGTTGCCCTGGATTGTGCAGATTTTGGGAATCCAGGTGATTTGCAATCCTGCTTCTTAGCACTCTTTCAAAGATTTTTATGATGTGGGATGTCAGAGCTATTGGTCTATAGTTCTTAGCTAGTGCTTGGTCTGGTCAACTAGGCTGTGACTGCTGGCTGCACGCAGTCCAACGTATGAACCACAACCCTGCTGATCGGGTACTGACCTTAGGTATCTGTCTAGTTCCCTCTTGAAGACAGCCATTGGTCTATTGGTAATTCTTATGTATGATGGGAGGCTGTTGAACAGTCTTGGGCCCCAGTCTCTTACTGTACTCGAGACACCCGTTTTCCGTTAAAAGTATGTTCCACCGTCTGCTAGTCTTTTGCTTTCGAAGGGAGTGATTTCTGTTGTGTGCAGATTTGGGACCAGTTCCTCTGGGATTTTCAAGGTGTAGATTATGATGCATCTTTCTAGAACGCCTGCTTTCCAGGAAGTATAGGTCAGGGGGCTAATAGTGTTCCTAATAATTAGGATGTTTGACTTTAATACGTACAATGAAGGTTCTCTGTACATTCTCTAGATCTCCGAATTCACCTGCCTTGAATGATGCTGATACTGTCCAGTTCCAGCCTGTAGGGAATTGTAGATGAATAGTTCAGACAATCGACAAGTTGACGAATTAGACACTTACGCAACTCTTGGGTAACTTTGTGGAAATGTTTCGCCAACCATTGGCTTCCTCAGTCCAATACAGAAAAAAATGGTTGAAGATCAGGAGTAGTTTGAGGAGGTCAGTCCTTCAGCCTGGAGTCAATATGATTAGTCCATCAAACGATAAGAGTAGAGCATATACGCTGATGAGGAGCTTTTATACTGCAGACAAGTGAGGTGAAGCAGTCGTAAGCGATGTCACCATGGAAAAATCCACAGATGCAAGTAGATCATGTGGGTGAGTAGCATTCTGCTCTGACATATTGATGGGAGAACATTTTATATTGGATTAGTGTTCATCTCTACTGTAGGGGTATAATTATTGTCCTGGAAACATGTTCGTCATACTGCTGGAGTACCTGGAGGATATTCCGGGGATCAACGCCCCCGTGGCCTGGTCCACGACCAGGCCTCTTGGAGGCCGAGTGTAAATGCTTCTAAAGGTATAGATGCCTACACAAATAACCCGTACATAAGAGAAAGGAACTTGGTCCTAGCAAGATTGACAAAACCTTCATCACAAGTTTGTCTCCTTTGTATAGGTTATTTGAGTATTGTTCCAATCACAGTATTGTGCCTTTTTCCATATAGATGTTTGTGTAATAAGGCAGGATGTAATAAACTGTCGTATTGAGAGGCTGTGGAACATCCTTCAGCATGTTAGCGCAATGCGCTAACATGCTGAAGGATGTTTTCATGGGTCAGTGCTTCTGGGTGAGTTGGCGTGTTGTGAACCACCATGCTGGTGAGGCTGCATATTATGTACAGCCATGCTGGTGAGGCTGCATATTGTGTACAGCCATGCTGGTGAGGCTGCATATTTTTGTACAGCCATGCTGGTGAGGCTGCATATTGTGTACAGCCATGCTGGTGAGGCTGCATATTGTGTACAGCCATGCTGGTGAGGCTGCATATTGTGTACAGCCATGCTGGTGAGGCTGCATATTGTGTACAGCCATGCTGGTGAGGCTGCATATTGTGTACAGCCATGCTGGTGAGGCTGCTTTATTGTGTACAGCCATGCTGGTGAGGCTGCATATTGTGTACCACCATGCTGGTGAGGCTGCGTATTGTGTACAACGATTTTGGTGAGGCGGCACGCCGTGCACAGCCGCGCTGGGGAGGCGGCACGCCGTGCACAGCCGCGCTGGGGAGGCGGCACGCCGTGCACAGTCGCGCTGGGGAGGCGGCACGCCGTGCACAGTCGCGCTGGGGAGGCGGCATGCCGTGCACAGCCGCGCTGGGGAGGCGGCACGCCGTGCACAGCCGCGCTGGGGAGGCGGCACGCCGTGCACAGCCACGCTGGGGAGGCGGCACGCCGTGCACAGCCACGCTGGGGAGGCGGCACGCCGTGCACAGCCACGCTGGGGAGGCAGCACATTGAGAACATAAGAAAGGAGCACTTCAACAGGCCTACTGGCCCATGCTAGGAAGGTTCAAGTCAATCACTCATGTACTTGTCTAACCGATTTTTAAAGCAACCATTTTTGGAGGTACTTGTCAGTACAGTGGACCCCCGCATAGCGAACTTAATCCGTGCAAGAGGGCTGGTCGTTATGCGAAATGTTCGCTATGCGAATTAATTTTCCCCATAAGAAATAATGGAAATAAAATTAATCCGTGCAAGACACCCAAAAGTATGAAAAAAAAATTTTTTTACCACAAAAAAATGTTAATTTTAGTACACACAAACTGAAAAAGGCATGCACAATTACATGACACTTACTTTTATTGAAGATCTGGTGATGATTGATGGGATGGGAGGAGGGGAGAGCATTATCTTCTTACTGTTTAGAAGGGGAATCCCCTTCCATTAGGACTTGAGGTAGCAAGTCCTTTTCTGGGGTTACTTCCCTTCTTCTTTTAATGCCACTAGGACCAGCTTGAGAGTCACTGGACCTCTGTCGCACAACAAATCTGTCCATAGAGCTCTGTACCTCCCGTTCCTTCAAGACTTTCCTAAAATGGGCCATAACATTGTCATTGAAATAGTCACCAGCACGGCTTGCAACAGCTGTGTCAGGGTGATTTTCATCCATAAAGGTTTGCAGTTCAACCCACTGTGCACACATTTCCTTAATTTTTGAAGTAGGCACAATGGATTCCACAACTGGCATAGGCTTCTCAGGGTTAGCCCCAAACCCTTCAAAATCTTTCTTAATTTCCATACTAATTCTCACCCTTTTTACCACAGGGTTGGCACTAGAAGCTTTCTTGGGGGCCCATGGTCACTTATTTTCCAGAAACAGCACCGAAAACACTGTAATAATACGAAATATTCCGAGTGTATGCTTGAATGTTACCGCGGAGGCTAGCTGGTAAACAATGGGACGGGCGGCACATGTGAGGCTGGCTGAGGGCCCACATTGGACGCGTCTCGGACGAAGTTCGCTGAGCGGGTTTTTGTCTACTATGCGGGGCAAAATTTCAGCGAACAAAGCGTTCGCTATGCGGATTGTTCGCTATGCAAGGCGTTCGCTATGCGGGGGTCCACTGTACTGTATTTCAGTTTAATTGAGTATGAAAGTAATGTGGTACAGTATTGCCTCTCCTCCCTTAGCGACATACTCGTTTACCAACGACTCGGACTTACGACAGGCTCTCTGACCCGTATTCATGCCTAAATAATGTATATTAGAACTGATTTCTTCTATTTTGTTTATTACAGTGTATAGTACACAACTGTAAACATTTAAAAATATACCAGAAATGTTATAAATGGTGCAGAGGTAACATTAAAACAATAACAAAGATGGGCGACACCAAACCCACTACCATTATAGTATGCTCCTCACTTGGCGACGAATTTGTTTACCGACATGATCTTAAGAATGGAACTCTGTCGTCCAGTGAAGAGAGAGATTACTATGCTCAGGCAAACGTAACAGGACATTAGACACACAGAAAACAATGTGAGGAACAAGCCAGTTAAAATTGTAAGGGCTAGCATATTTTAAGCAGAGTTAATGGGTAATGAAGACTAAATGCACCTTTTCTAAAAATATATCAGTAAGGATTCTTTAATTTATTGGAAATTAATTTTTCATTGCAAAATTGAAATGCTATAAGTGATAGAAATTGAATTTGTGCCATATCTGTTATTTTGCAGAACACCTATGACCAAATTGCTGCTGATGCCAAGTTTCAGCTATTGTTGACAAATGTTGTAAATAAAAATGCCAATGAAAATGTTCGTTCCATGGCTGCCGTACTTCTTAGAAGACTTATCACAACTAATTTTGATGAAGTTTTTCCCACGGTAAGTATTCCACATCCTTTTAAGCTTGGTTTATGCATATTATAATATTGTTCTGTTAAGAATAACGTATTGCAGCACATTTTTATAAGCAGTAATAAATGATAAACTTAGTAATATTGTATTGATGTTTTGCCTTGTACAGTAAGCACAGGTTTATGCTTCATGGGATTATTGATTTACTACTATGAAATGACTGTCCTAGCTGGCACTCATAATTAGTGATAAAAATGGTTTAAAGAAATTTGTCAGCCAGGTTCTTTTCAAGAGTAGGTGATTAAAACTTTATACACTACGGTAGAACACCTGTATCCATGGATTCGGTATTCACTCTGTACTATGGCCCAAAAATAACCCTTCATTTTGCTTAATAATGGCTCTGAAGTTCAAAAGTAGTGAGAGAAGCCATGAAATGCTTCCCATCAGTGCAAAAGTGCTAATTTCTAGACTTATTTTGCATAATATATCAATTAAACTTTATAGGTATGTATGTAAACAAAAAATGACAGTGGAACCTCTACTTACGAGTTTAATCCATTCTGTGACCTTACTCGTACAGTGGAACCTCAAAAATCGAACTTAATCCGTTCCAGTTCTAAATTCGAAGTCTGAAATTCGAAGCCATATTTCCCATAAGAAATAATGGAAATACAATTAATCCATTCCAGAAACCCAAAAATATTCACACAAAAAATACATTTTATAGAGATTAATTACAGTTTTACATACAACAAATACTATAGTTTTTAATTATGTATAGTAATACGTACATATAAAATAACATTTTTACTTACCTTTATTGAAGATTGGTGATGGCATCTGGAAGATAGGGAGGAGGAGAGAGGGAGTTGGGGTTAGTGTTTGGAAGGAGAATCCCCTCCATGAGGACTTCAGGTAAAGCCCCCTCTGGGGTTACTTCCCTTCTTGTCTTTTAAAGCCACTAGGACCAGCTTGAGAGTCACTGGACCCCTATCTCACAAAATAACTGTCCACAGTCCTTGTTTCTGGGGCCTCTTTAACATTTCCCTAAAATGGAACATGGTTCTGTCACTGAACTTGTTGCAAAGATGGCTTGTTTCAGCTTGCTCAGGGTGGTACTTCTCGCACAAACATTTGGACATCATTCCACTTGGCACAAATCTCCTTAATCTTTGAAGAAGGCACCTCATCCACTCCCTATATTAACACCTTTCGCAACATAAGCTTCCTTGATTTGTTCTTTCTTTGACAGGATAGAACCGATGGTCGACTTGTTTTTCCCATACATCCTGGCAAGCTCAACAAGTCTCACACCGCTCTCATACTTCTGTATTATTTCCTTCTTCACATCTATGGTGTTTCTCACTTTCTTTACCACAGGGGTACCACTAGCAAGTTTCTTTGGGCCCATGGCAGCTTATTTCAGTCCCACAAGCACTAAACACAACGAACTAATTGTAAAATGCGTGAATGAGAGCGCAGGTTAGTGTTCACTTGAGCATAAACAAAGCTAGACTGCTCACGGCGCCTGCGCGGGGACGCGGACAGAGCGGGCGGCAGACAGGTCCCATACCCGGCGGTCCGAAAATAGGGGCGCTTTCGATAATAGGGACACAGTTTGTCCGAAAAAATGGTCCTATTTTCAAAACGTTTGATATGTGATACGTTCGATTTTTGAGGTTCCACTGTATCCTGATTTGTTCGTATGGCGAGTCAATTTTCCTCATTTTAATTAAATGAAATGCAGTTAATCTGTTCCGGCTCTCAGTAGGTACAACAAAATACTTCGATGTTTCGCTAATATCAACTGTACGGCTTATTTATCTAGCAAAATTTATTTAATATGACATAATAAACAATATAAATACATAGAAACCTGATATATACTCTAGAATGAATAAAATGTCATTATGTGACAGGTGGAGGCAGCCATAACCGCTTCCATTTTCACCTCACTCACACATAATCACTGTTTTTGCAGAGGTGCTCAGAACACAACAGTTTAGAAGCATATACATATAAAGAGACACAACATATCCCTCCAAACTGCTAATATCCTGAAACCTCTCCTTTAGAGTGCAGGCATTGTACTTCCGATTTCCAGGACTTAAGTCCGGCTATATAAAAATAACCGGTTTCCCTGAATCCCTTCACTAAATATTACCCTGCTCACACTCCAACAGATCGTCAGGTCCCAAATACCATTCGTCTCCATTCATTCCTATCGAACACGCTCGTGCACGCCTGCTGGAAGTCCAAGCCCCTCACCCACAAAACCTCCCTTACCCTTCCTTCCAACCTTTTCGAGGACGACCCCTACCCCCCTTCCTTCCCCTACAGATTTAAATGCTCTCCATGTCATTCTACTTGGATCCATTCTCTCTAAATGACCAAACCACCTCAACAACCCCTCTTCAGCCCTCTGACTAATACTTTTATTAGCTCCACACCTTCTAATTTCCACACTCCGAATTTTCTGCATAGTATTTACACCACACATTGCCCTTAGACAGGACATATTCTTATAAAAATTTATATTGCGTACATTGTATAATTATTGTTATTTATTAGTACGTACATATTATAATACTCTTGCTTATCTTTTGGAATTTTTATTCACACAAAAAGTAGAAGATTTACTGTTACGTAGACTGCTGCATTATTGTAATAATTGTACAAATAATGCCAAGCCATTCATGACTGCGTATTGGAATGGCCAGTCGGAACAGGTATTGAATAGTGACGTCATTTGTTTATTCTTGAACGTCACCAAAGAATCGAACATTTCTGGTACTTAGAGCTCAATTTCAAGGTACTTTTCATCGTGAAACCAATCAAAATCATATCTATTTCTGTAATATATCGTCCATTTTATCAAATGAGACCAATAAAAATGAGAATACAAACAAAAAAACACGAAAATATACCGCTAAGGGGTGGCTAATGGCTGAGAAGTGAACTCCATTATTTATGATCTGGTTTCTTTCAATTTTGGTTTAAGTTAAGAAGTCTCTGTTCATCATACATTGCCCAAGTTTCAATAAGATACTCCAACAAACAACTGAGATCCAGTTCACTAGATCAAGTGCAAGAGCCCCTCACTATTGTCAAGGAACCTCCCTTGAGGCCCGCTTACATCTGGAAGCAAAAAAAAATTGACCAAGCAAGTGCTCATATCTTGAAAAACTCGCACATTAAGGCACTCGTAAGCCGAGGTTCTACTGTATAGGGTTTGCTACTGTCCACAGGGACAGGTATCCAGGGTAGGTCTCAAACCATATTCCCCACGTATACGGGGGGAACTAATGTATTTCCAACAGCAAGTGATAAAACTTTCATTATCAGAACTTAAGAGCACAAGACATTGTCATGGTAAAATTCAACAAACATTTTATTTTCATGTTATCTACGTACATTTTTTCTTAATTGCTTGTGCTTTTCACAGAACCTAAGTTTTAAACCTTTTTCAACAAATTTTGTCTTAGTTGCCACCTGAAGCTCAAGGGCAAGTACAGGCACAGCTCCTAGCATTAGTACAACAGGAGGAAGATGCAAATATGCGGAAAAAACTTTGTGATATCATCAGTGAGCTGGCACATAATATGATTGATGATGAGGGAAACAATAAATGGCCAGAGTTCCTCCAGTTTCTTTTTGAAAGTGCAAGTTCGTCATCCATTGCACACAAAGAGATTGCTCTAACACTGTTCAGGTGAGTTTATGATAAAGGTCTATAAAATTTTTACAACAAGTAGAGTAGGCAGTTGATTATAATAAACTAGAGGACTGACCATGTGAATCGTATTAATTGAAAAATGTGTAGGCACATGGGAGTGAATGATTAACTGGAAGTAAGCAAGTATGAAGTATTCAAATTAGAATTATTTTATTGCTTCACCCAACATTAATGATTAAAAAATTTATGTTAGTATATTCTCTAGCTGACAGTAAGAATGGCAGGTATCTTTTTCAATTCACTACAGTATCTGCTTCATTATTCTTAATTACATATTCCAAATTGTACCCCTCTTGTAGTTGGCCTGGTACTATATTTTTAATTCATTTTTGCCGTGTGCCATGTATTTTAAGTTAACATGTGGACATTAATATCTTTTAACAGCTTGGTACCAGGAGTATTTGGCAATCAGCAGCAGCAACATTTGGGAATGATAAAAGCCATGCTAACAACCTCTTTGGCAGACTCGACTAACCCGCCAGTCCAGGCCCTAGCAGTCAAGGGCACAGCAGCATTTATTCTCCTGCATGACAATGAGCCAAATATTCAGAAGAACTTTGCAGATCTTCTTCCACAGTTTCTCCAGGTAATTACATGTGAACAAATAAAAAAAAATTAAAGGCATACCAGTTTGAATAATACATGACTAAAGCAGTCACTGATCAACACAGCAATAAGTCTAAAACAGAAACCAAATAATGTTTAGAGGAAACCACAATTTTAAGGAAACAGGATATAGTAGTTGCAGTCATTGTCGTTAAGCTACTTGGGTATTATAATTGCTTATCTTTCTGTATATTAATGGCCATTAGGTAGGTTTTTCACTAAAATATCCCTAGACACACACACACACACACACATTTTCTTGGACTGCAAGAAGGCGTTTGACACAGTTCCACACAAGAGATTGGTGCAAAAACTGGAGGACCAAGCAGGGATAACAGGGAAGGCACTACAATGGATCAGGGAATACTTGACAGGAAGACAGCAGCGAGTCATGGTACGTGGCGAGGTGTCAGAGTGGGCACCTGTGACCAGCGGGGTCCCACAGGGGTCAGTCCTAGGACCAGTGCTGTTTCTGGTATTTGTGAACGACATGACGGAAGGAAAGACTCTGAGGTGTCCCTGTTTGCAGATGACGTGAAGTTAAATGAGAAAAAATTCACTCGATCGAAGACCAGGCAGAACTACAAAGGGATCTGGACAGGCTGCAGACCTGGCCCCAGCAATTGGCTCCTGGAGTTTCAATCCCAAACCAAGTGCAAAGTCATGAAGATTGGGGAAGGGCAAAGAAGACCGCAGACGGAGTACAGTCTGGGGGGCCAGAGACTACAAACCTCACTCAAGGAAAAAAAATCTTGGGGGGGAGTATAACACCAGGCACATCTCCTGAAGCGCACATCAACCAAAAAAACTGCTGCAGCATAATGGGCGCCTAGCAAACCTCAAAACAGCATTCCAACATCTTAATAAGGAATCATTCGGACCCTGTACACCGTGTACGTTGGCCCATATTGGAGTATGCGGCACCAGTTTGGAACCCACACCTACCCCAAGCACGTAAAGAAACTAGAAAAGTGCAAAGGTTTGCAACAAGACTAGTCCCAGAGCTAAGAGGAAATGTCCAAACGAGGAGAGGTTAAGGGAAATCAACCTGATGACACGGAGGACAGGAGAGAGAGAGGGACATGATAACGACATAAAAAAATACTGAGAGGAATTGACAAGGTGGACAAAGACAGGATGTTCCAGAATTGGACCACAGTAACAAGGGGACACAGTTGGAAGCTGAAGACACGATGAATCACAGGGATGTTGGAAGTATTTCTTCAGCCACAGAGTAGTCAGTAAGTGGAATAGTTTTTGGGAAGTGATGAAAGTGGAGGCGGGAAACCATACTTTAGCTTTAAGCAGAGGTATGATAAAGCTCACGGCTCAGGAGAGTGACCTAGTAGCGATCAGTAAAAGGGGCGGGCCAGGAGCTCGGACTCAAACCCCCCGCAACCTAAAACTGGGTGAGTACACACACACACACACACAAAACACACACACACACACACACACACACACACACACACACACACCCCAAAACACACACAGACACACCACACACCACACAGAAAACACACACCACACAGACACACACACACACACAAAACACACACACACACCACACACACACACACACACACACACACACAACACACACAAAACACACACACACACACAGACACACACACACACACACACACAACACACACACACACACACACACACACACACACACACACACACACACACAGAAAACACACACACACAGCCCACACACACACACAGACACACACACACACAGAAAACACACACACACAGACACACCACACACACAGACACACACACACAGACACACACACACACCTAGCCAAGCACGTAAAGAAACTAGAGAAAGTGCAAAGGTTTGCAAACAAACTAGTCCCAGAGCTAAGAGGAAATGCCCCTACGAGGAGAGGTTAAGGGGAAATCAACCTGACGACACTGGAGGACAGGAAGATAGGGGGGACATGATAACGACATACAAAATACTGAGAGGAATTGACAAGGTGGACAAAAACAGGAATGTTCCAGAGATTGGACACAGTAACAAGGGACACAGTTTGGAAGCTAAAAGACACAGATAATCACAGGGATGTTAGGAAGTATTTCTTCAGCCACAGAGTAGTCAGTAAGTGGAATAGTTTGGGAAGCGATGTAGTGGAGGCAGGAAATCCATACATAGCTTTAACAGAGGTACGATAAAGCTCACGGCTCAGGGAGAGTGACCTAGTAGCGATCATTTGAAGAGGCGGGGCCAGGACTCGACTCGACCCCCCAACCTCACTAGGTTGAGTACAACTAGGTGAGAAACACACACACACAAACACACACACACACACACACACACACAAACACAGACAAAACACACACACACAAACACAGACACACACACACACACACAACACACACACACACACTCACTCACTCAAACTCCCCACTCTCTCCCTCCCTCCCTCCCTCCCCGTGCCCCTTTTTCCATCTGAGTGCAGATTCCTAAAATTAAAAAAAAATAATCAAAATATAAAAAAAAAATTTCCTCACAGCTGAAGGGATGTGATGGATTGCATAAGGCTCATCTCAAGATTTTTCTTTTTTTCATACTTGAGTAATGATGTACCTGCAAATTGCATAAAACAACACATTAAACATATTACAATGCGTCAAGTTGCCTGTTGCAGGGTTTGCGGAGAAATTTTCTAGCTGTTCTGCTGAGCATTAATTTGACATTCAGTGAAAAACATGTATGCTGTGTGTGTGTCTAGCAATAAAAAAAGGGAAGGGGGGCAACCTTAAGAAAGTTCCAAGATCTTAAAACTGTATTGTGATTCATGCAAGTCCTTACAAGCAGCTGAAAAATTACTTGTTTGCCTTGGCCCTTAAGGAAGGAGGAGGCTGGAGCCGTTCAGCGCGCTCAAGAAAATAATCGAAAAATTTTGGAAAATGAGTTATTCATACAGAAAAAATAGCTTAACTCTTTGGCAACACAATGGTACAAGAATCAATGTTCTACAACGTTTCTACAAGAAATTATAGTCATTTATATCAGGTATGGTGGCGGCGATGTAGGTAGCGAGTCTGCTCTCAACCCATATATTTTTTTGAATTTTTTCCTTGTTTTTTTATCCTTTTTTCTTTCCCATTATTCTTTCTAATATAAAAATTTGATTATTTGGCATCATAAAAGAGTAGGGGGAGCTTATCAATAGACGTCTAGCCTATCAGGAAGCAACCTAGGTACCCTCGGCATGCTCCCTCTCCAAAACGGTGCCAGGTGAAATCACTTCATTATTACGTTTAAATCACTTATATATTAACTATACGGCTTGTTTATCATTCAGAATTGATCTAATATGATATAATAATCACTATAAATAACAAACAAACATGTTATATACTCTAGTCTAGACTGAATAAAATAGGCCATAATATAGCGAGAGTCCACCAGCAATATTTCGATATAAATGAGTTACTCCTCGTCTCCTTGTTGTATTGTTTGGTCTGTGAGTGATAGAAAACGTGTTTTGAAGAGGAAAACTGCACTAGAACATCAGTTTACTAAGAAATACACCGAAACAAACGCGATTTCCGCACAAAAAAAAAAATTAAGGAGACGGTAGGCTGGCCGACGTTCTAGGCCTATATCGGAAGTAACTTATTCACTTATTTCGCTTACAACTCCTTTAATTAATGATTGTATTTGAAATGTTTTTTCACAGACAATATAAAACAAAGTGTGTTTGAATTAAACGTCAGATTTTTTGGAATATCTCAAATATTTTTTATTTTATGGGGGGTAAAAAGGCAATATTTTTGGCGAATGCCAAAAAATTTCTGTCAATGTATTTTTTTTTACCATAATATTAAGATATATTAGAGAAATGGCAATGTAAAAACGTCGTGCAGTTGTATTCTAACAGTTGGGAATGTCGGAAGTGCCACTCGTAGCGCCAATTTGTCAGGTCATGCTGCCATATATAAAAATTATGTTTATATTTTTTTCTCGGTTTGTTGGCCAATCATACTGAAACTTTGTCACATGCTTCTACATATGCACCTCTAAAAGTACACCAAAAATAAAATAAATCAGTTGAAAAAATAAAAAAAAAATGGAAGAGGGGGTGCGCCCTTAAATCACTCCAAAATGGGTTCATTTTAACGAGAAATGCAGTATGAAACAAGGTAAAATGAATGATAAGATATGTAATGAGCCAGTCATACAGTTGGAAGTCATATCCATACTCATCTTTCACATTAGTTGAAAGACGAGTTATGGCCAAGACCCGGAAATTTTCCCATGCGAACTCAGAAAGGGTCAAATTAAATAATTAAATGTACAGTAGTATTTCTGATTATGTTGATGGAAAAGCATTAGGAAAAGATGGGAAAGTAATTTGGGATAAGAGACATGAAGTATGTTCAACTATAATGCCTGCACTTTAAAGGAGGGGTTTAGGATGTTGGCTGTTTGGAGTGACATCTAGACTGTTGTATGTGAGTGCCTCTGCAAAGACAGTGATTGTGTGAATGACAGTGAAAGTGTTTCTTTTTTGGGTCACCTTGCCTCAGTGGGAGACGGCCTACGTGTTAAAAAAAATTAATTTGCGAAGACAAAAAAATTTATCCATGGTGGAAAAGAAGGGAATGTATGAGAGTATAGTAGTACCAACACACTTTTATGGGTGTGAAGCATGGGTTGTACATGTGAATGATGAAAGTGTTTCTTTGTCACCCTTCCTCAGTGGGAGACGGCCAATCTGTTGACAAATTATAATAAATGTCTCCTAGGTAGTAGGTTGGTAGACAGCAACCACCCAGGGAGGTATTACCATCCTGCCAAGTGAGTGTAAACCAAAAGCCTGTAATTGTTTTACATGGTGGTAGGATTGCTGGTGTCTTTTTCTGACTCATAAACATGCAAGTTTTCAGGTACATCTTGCTACTTCTTACATTTAGGTCATACATGTACAAGCATATATATACACACACACCCTTTTGGGTTTTCTATTTTTCTTACTTCTTGTTTATTTCCACTTTTCTCCATGGGAAAGTGCAACAGAATTCTTCCTCCATAAGCCATGTGTGTCGTAAGAGGCAACTAAAATGCCAGGAGCAAGGGACTAGTAACCCCTTCTGTATATATTACTAAATGTAAAAGGAGACACTTCTGTTTTTCCTTTTGGGCCACCCCGCCTCAGTGGGATACGGCTGGTGTGTTGAAAGAAAGACGAGAGAAGTATGTAGTCTATAAAAAATATATCTCTCTCTCTTTAATTTTCAACACATCGGCCGTCTCCCACCGAGGCGGGCTGGCCCAAACAAAAAGGAAAACACTTTCAACATCATTAACATGATCACTGTCTTTGCAGAGGCACTCAGATACAACAGTTTAAATGTCACTCCAACCTGCCAATATCCCAAACCGAAGTGCAGGCATTGTACTTCCCACCTCCAGGACTCAAGTCCGGCTAACTGGTTTCCCTGAGTCCCTTCACAAAATGTTACCCTGCTCACACTCCAACAGCTCATCAGGTCCCAAAAACAATTCATCTCCATTCACTCCTATCTAACTTGGTCACACATTACACAAATAACCCGCACATAGAAGAGAGGAGCTTACGACAACGTATCGGTCCGACTTGGACCATTTACAGTCACACTGTGACTTTGTAAATGGTCCAGTCAGGGTATTGTGCCTTTTTGTTATTTATTGGTCACACATGCCTGCTGCATGTCCAAGCCCCTTGCACACACAACCTCTTTTAACCCCCCCTCCCTCTCAATGACCAAATCACCTCAACAACCCCTCCTCAGCCCTCTGAATAATACTTTTAATAACTCCACTCCTCCTAATTTCCACACTACAAATTATCTGCCTAATATTTACACCACACATTGCCCTTAGACGGAACATCACTGCCTTCAGTCTCCACCTCACTGCAGTGTTTACAACCCATATAAGAGTGTTTGTAGCACTATACTCTTAATACATTCCCTTCTTTACCTCCATGGATAACTTTCTTTGTCTCCACATATACCTATACATACATACATACCACCTATCACCCACTGAAGTAGTATAGTGGAGAAATATTTAATCCTATTATTACAGCAGTTTTTGTAGATAAATGGAAACATATGCTAATTTCAAAAACAGAACATTCTCTTTTTTCGTTTAATTACATGCTTCTCTTCCTTGAACTCTTAGGAAGGTTTCATATGAACAGAAATGTCATTCATTGCCCTGCAGATAATTGCCACTAGCATCCAAATAGGCGATGATGATGCTCTGCTAAAGTGCCTGGTAGATTTGGCTGAAAGCTGTCCGAAGTTTTTAAGACCACAAGTGGAAATGATATTACAGCTTGCAATCAAAGTAAGATACAGTTATATTCTTAATACAAAACTTGTATGAATTCAGTTTGAGTTTGATTTAATTATTGATGAAATTTTAAAGTTATTCTTTAGAGTATAATTGGTGTCTTATCTTCAAAAATACTATAGTCTTATATGTATTTAGTTACTTCATTTACGAGATAGAGGAAAGTCGTGGAAGATTAAAAACTTGTCTCAACATTACATTGGTTACCAAACACTGCAATACAGCTAATTCTGTAAATCTGAAGGTGAGCAGTGTGACAAGATATCAGCTGATTCGTGTGACTTGTTTATTCATTTTTCCTTAAAATCCTTACACACAATTTATCTCGTGAATTTTTTTTTTTCTTGTTTTTTTTTCCCCCTTGCATGCATGCCTCAAGGATTGTCATTTGTGTAAATTTAGTGACTGTCCTCTTAATTTTACAGACTTTGCCAGATCCTAATGTTGGTGACGGTTGGAAGCACCTCCTTCTTGAGGTGGTTGTAACGCTGGCTGAGACTGCCCCTGCAATGGTGCGCAAAGCTGGAGCGAAATACATGAACACCCTCATACCTCAAATGCTAAATATGATGACTGATTTGAATGATGAAGAAGTAAGCTATATATTATTTGTTACTAAATGTAATGGTCCAAGTTACATCAGATAAATAACTTTTGGAATAGGTAGTGTTGTGTAACAGGTAAAGTACAAATACTGTAGTGAACTAAATTGAATAATTAGCCTCTGTAGATTTGTAAGTCACTCACTAGACACCACTGATTAACCCTTAAACTATCCAAACGTAGATCTGTGCTAGTACCGCTATCACTCCAAACGTAGATAAACATTTTATTTTTTCCACCTCCAAATTTGGCACGATTAGCCTGAGATGCCTGGTCAGTATAGAATGGGGCTTAACACTTGGGAGCTCCAGTTCAATTGAGTGCTAGCTAGAGAAAATAGCATGGCAAACACCAGGGATTCACTGATGTCATGTTGTATTAACACTACACTTTTAAGAGGAAAATGATGCTGACCCCAAGTTAAGTGGCCTTGAGATGGATGTGGCCACTACTGGTCAAGGAAATATAAAAAACCTTGATGATAACCCATTTGCAACATTTGTGCAACATCCTTTCATTTTTTATAGCACTGGTAGTGTCATATAACCTATAACCTATGCCCTAAGTAAAGAGAAACAATTCGGAAACGTGTAATACATATTTGGCAGGCTGGCTGACTGACTTTGGGTCTCTATCTGTCTACAGTGGCCACAAAAAACGATATACACCTACCATCTGACTTATGACCTGCTCAACATACGACCATTTGACTTAGGACCATGTTTTCTATGCCAAATTTCTGGGAAATAAACGACTGTTTGTGTTGTACACAGTGTTTATCCTAAACGTTGCAGTATAAAATACAGTACTATTATTATTAACACACCGGCCGATTCCCACCAAGGCAGGGTGGCCCAAAAAAGAAAAATTTTCACCATCATTCACTCCATCACTGTCTTGCCAGAAGGGTGTTTTACACTACAGATTTTAAACTGCAATATTAACACCCCTCCTTCAGAGTGTAGGCACTGTACTTCCCATCTCCAGGACTCAAGTCCGGCCTGCCAGTTTCCCTGAATCCCTTCATAAATGTTACTTTGCTCACACTCCAACAGCACGTCAAGTAAATTAAAAAACCCTTTTTCCCCCGTTCACCCTATCAAACACGCTCATGAATGCCCGCTGGAAGTCCAAGCCCCTCGCACACAAAACCTCCTTTACCCCCTCCCTCCAACCTTTTCTAGGCCGACCCCTACCCCACCTTCCTTCCGCTACAGACTGATACACTCTTGAAGTCAAACCACCTCAACAACCCTTCCTCAGCCCTCTGGACAACAGGTTTGGCAATCCCGCACCTCCTCCTAACTTCCAAACTATGAATTCTCTGCATTATATTCACACCACACATTGCCCTCAGACATGGCATCTCCACTGCCTCCAGCCTTCTCGCTGCAACATTCATCACCCATGCTTCACGCCCATATAAGAGTGTTGGTAAAACTATACTCTCATACATTCCCCTCTTTGCCTCCAAGGACAAAGTTTCTTTGTCTCCACAGACTCCTAAGTGCAAACCCCTCACACCCTTTTTTTCCCCCCATCAATTCTATGATTCACCTCATCTTTCATAGACCCATCTGCTGACATGTCCACTCCCAAATATCTGAATACATTCACCTCCCTCCATACTCCCCCCTCCAATTGATTTTCCAAAACTTTCATCACCTAATCTTTTTTTTATCCCATAACCTTACTCTTTTTCCTGTATTCACTTTTAATTTTCTTTTACATACCCTACCAAATTCATTAACCAACCTCTGCAACTTCTCTTCAGAATCTCCCAAGAACACAGTGTCATCAGCAAAGAGCAACTGTGACAATTCCCACTTTGTGTGATTTTTTATCTTTTAACTCCACGCCTCTTGCCAAGACTCTCGCATTTACTTCTCTTACAACCCCATCTATAAATATATTAAACAACCACGGTGACATCACACATCCTTGTCTAAAGCCTACTTTTACTGGGAAATAATCTCCCTCTTTCCTACATACTCTAACTTGAGCCTCACTATCCTCGTAAAAAGCCTTCACTGCTTTCAGTAACCCTACCTCCTATACCATACACCTGCAACATCTGCCCCATTACCCCCCTAAACCACCCTGTCATAACGCCTTTTTTCCAAATCCATAAAAGCCACAAAGACCTCTTTAAGCCTTATCTAAATACTGTTCACTTATATGTTTCATTGTAAACACCTGGTCGACACACCCCCTACCTTTCCTAAAACCTCCTTGTTTTTTCTGCTATCCTATTCTCTGTCTTACTCTTAATTCTTTCAATAATAACTCTACCAACACTTTACCAGGTATACTCAACAGACTTCTCCTCCCTATAATTTTTGCCACTCTCTTTTGTCCCCCTTTTGCCTTTTTACAAAGGAACTATGCAAAGCTCCCCTGCCAAACCCAATACCGTACCCTCTTCCCTACATTTATTAAATAATAGAAACCAACCACTCCAAAAACTATATCCCCACCTCCCTTTAACTTTTCTATTTTTTATCCCCCATCAATCCCAGCTCCCTTTCCCCCCCCCTTTTTTCTTTTTAAACCTACCCCATGAACTTCCCCCACACTCAAAAGGGGGCTCTTCCTCACTTTTTACAAGATTTTAAAATCCTCCTTGCCCTAAAACCACAAATCAAGCTTCCCTACCCTTCAGTACTAACAGCAAAAAAAAAAATAAAGAAAAAAAATTAAATCCCAAAAGTAAAAACAAAAAAAATTGTCTTTACAAAAATATATTTTAAAATATTAATAGAAAGGGTTTCGACTTACATCCATTTCGATTTTATGACCAGTTTGTCGGAACCAAACTCGGTCGAAAGTTTGGTTTGGTCCCCGTGAAAATTTTTCCCAACCCCAAAAAAAAAAAAAAAATCTATACCTGGTTTTTTGGGTGTACGGGTACCATCCATTTAAACCAAACCTAGTTAGGTTCCCCCCAAAACGGGTCATAACCCAAAAGGGAAACGTAATTCAAACCGCAGAAAATTCCCAAATAGGGATATTTTAAAAAATTAAAATCTTAATTTTGTAAAACAATAAATTTTTTTATGTTTGTTGGGGAAATCACTTAAAACCCATTATTTTTAAATTGACGGGTTTTCACAAATAGGTGAATAGCTTACTTCCAGATAATAGCCGATAATTAAACAATACCCGAACTAAAAAAGGGGGAAAAACCCCCCCCCCACCCCCCCCCCCCCCCCCCCCCCCCAAAAAAAAAAGGGCCCTCTCAACCTTTTCCTTCCCTTCTTCTCCTTTCCTTTTTCCCCTTTTTTTCCCTTTCCTTTTTTTTCCCTTTTTCCTTTTTTTCCCTTTTTTCTTTTTTCCCCTTTTTCCCTTTTTTTTTCCCTTTCCTTTCTTTTTTTTTTTCCCTTCTTCTTTTTTCCCTTCTTCCCCCCCAATTTTCCTTTTTCCTTCTTCTTCCCTTTTTCTTCTTCTTTTTCCCCTTCTCTTCCCCCCCCCTTCCCCCCCCTTTTTCCCCCCCTTTTTCCCCCCCTTCTTTTTACCCCCCCTTCCCCCCCTTCTCTTTTTCCCCCCTTTTTCCCCACCCCCCCCTTCTTACTCCCCCCCTTTTTCCCCCCCTTCATTTTTCCCCCCCTTCTTCTCCCCCCTTTTTCTTCCCCCCTTCCCCTTCCCCTTCTCCCCCCTTTTTCTCCCCCCTTTTTCCCCCCCTTTTTTCCCCCCTTTGGGGGGGTTCCCCCCCCCTCCCCCTTTAAAATTTCCCCCCCTCTCAAACCCCCTTCCCCTCTCTAAAACCCCTTTAAAAACCCCTTCCAAAAAAACCCCCTCTACCCCTTCCCTCACCCCACCCCTTTCCCTCCTTTTCATTTCCCCCTGTCCCCCCTTTTTTTTCCCCCCCCCCCTTTCCTTTTCCCCCCCTTTTTCCCTTGGCTTTCCCTTCCCCTTTTGGTTTTATTTAAAACCCCTTTCCCCCTCCCCCCCCTCTCTCCCCCCCCCCCTTTTTTTTTTTTTCCCCCTTCCCCCCCTCTTTTTTATTTTTTTTCCCCCCCTCTTTTCCCCCCCCCTTCCCCCCCCAAAATCCCCCCCCCCAAACCCCACCTCCCCCTCTCTCCCCCTCCTCCCCCCTCTCCCCCTCTCCCCCTCCCCCCTTTTCTTTTCCCCTTTCCCCCCCCCCTTCTCTCCCCCTCCCCCCCCCTTTTTTCCCCCCTCCCCCCCTCCCCCCTCCCCCCCCCCTCTTCCCCCCCTCTCCTCCCCCTCCCCTCCCCCCTCCCCCCCCTCTCTCCCCCCCTCATCCCCCCCCTCTCTCCCCCCCCCCCCTCTCCCCCCCTCTCCCCCCCTCTCTCCCCCCCTCCCCACCCCCCCCCCTCCCCCTCCCCCCTCCCCCCCTCTCTCCCCCCCCTCCCCCTCTCCCCCCCTCTCTCTCCCCCCCTCTCCCCCCCTCCCCCCCCTCTCTCCCCCCCTCTCTCCCCCCCTCTCTTCCCCCCCCCCCCCTTTCCCCTCTCCCCCCCTCCCCCCCCCCCCTCTCCCCCCTCTCTCCCCCTTCCCCCTCTCCCCCTTTCTTTTTTCCCCCTTTTTCCCCCCTCCCCCCCCCTTTTCCCCCCCTCTTTTCCCTTTCCCCCCCCTCTCCCCCCCCCTTTCCTCCCCCCCTCCCCCCCCCTTTCTCTCCCCCCCCTTTCTCCCCCCCTTTCCTCCCCCTTCCTCCCCCCTCCCCCCTCTCCTCCCCCTCTCTCTCCCCCTCTCTCTCCCCCCCTTCTCCCCCCCCCCTCCTCTCCCCCCCCCTCTCCCCCCCTCTCTCTCCCCCCCCCCTCTCTCTCCCCCTCTCTCCTCCCCCTCTCTCTCTCCCCCCTCCCTCTCCCCCCTCTCTCCCCCCCCCCTCTCTCCTTCCCCTCCCCCCTCCCCCCCCCCCTCTCCCACCCTTTTTTTTTTTTTTAAACCCCGGGTTTGAAAAAGGGGGGAAAAGGATCCCTACTTTATTGAAAAGCTATTTACCAGGTTAAGGTTTTCCTAACTTTTTTGGGCAAGCTAAGAGATTTTCCCTACATCACTCATTTGAAAGCATTTTTATTTTTATGAGACATAAAAAGAAAAGGAAAGGATGAATTTGGGCCCATCTGGGGGCCCAGCTTTTTCATTTAATCCCTGATTTTAAACTCGTTGACATTATGCGTACAATGTTTTTCCATACTCGAGCCCACCCCTGGGAGGGTATAAATTTCTCAGATGGAGTGTTTCGGAAAAAGGGAAAAGCCAAGTAAATTGCAAACCTTTTCTGCCCTCTTGTGGCAAAAAACTTTTTCCCATGCTGTCCCTCGAAGTGGTGGTTTTTTGAAAAAATTTTTGGCCTGTACATAACAGAAGGCCACCCACATCCCCCCTATTTTGAAGGCTCTGCTGAAATGAAAAGATCTATCCAGGATGGGTCAGGCAAAAGATAGACGTCCCTTTCCCCTGTTCCCCTACTTTTGGGCAAGCAGCGGGAGATGAGAGGGGGGGGAGGCAAACCAAGAAAGTAGAAACATACTCCCAAAGGGGCCCAGCGTACTTTTCCCCGACAGAATCTTGCCCCCCCCTACTGTCCCAAAAAGATGCAGAACGGCGAAGTCTGTAAAACTTCCCGGCTGCCGTTTTTTGCAAGATGGGACAAAAATGGTTCTTATGGGTTTGTTTTGGGGTCAAATTTCCACCCCAAGAATATCAACTTCTTTTTCCCGGGGCCAACACCCTCCCCTTCATCCTTACAGTGCACCAGCATTACCATCATGGGGCCTTTAAAATGACATTTTTTTGCCTTTTCTCAGGTGCAAATTTTACTTGCCATCTATTTTTTCCCAAGCATATAGCTCCAGCGGTGAAAGGGTGTAGCTTAAAAGCAGCTGGCATTTCTTCCCCCTTGGGTAAGTGAATTCAGTGTGCCCGTCTCGCATATGGGATGTGATTTTTGGGGTGAGATGAAGGAAGGGCGTTGAAGTAGACCCTTTCCCTAACAAGGTCCCAGCACGTTTTTTGTGGGAAAACTTTCCCCAATAGATGCTTGCCCGATTCCCCTTCCATTTAGAACTACACTTTAAAATCCCCCCATGAAGGGAATCAAATTTAGGAGAAAATAGCATGAGCCTGCAATTCCCAGTGCTTGAAGTTTTGCTAAGAGGCCCGGTGCCAACCCGGTCGAAAGTTCCCCAAAGTCCCTTTCAAAAACACCGCTTACTTTTAAATTTATCCATTTACGGTGCCACTTAGTGGAGAGGGGTTTTAAAAACAGATCAGCAGCAGAGTAACCTTTTTCCCGAAACCATATTGCCCATCACAAAGTATGAGTGAAAGGGCAAAAAAATTTCATTTGTCCCCTTAAAATTATTGTCCCCAAGGGTCTTTCCAGTGATTGACAGGGGTGACACTGGGCTGTAGTTTTCTGATTTTTGCTCCCGCCTTCTCTTTTTGAAAAGGGGCTACAAATTTTCCTTTTTTCCATAGAGAGGGCCCCTTTACCCTGTACTAGGCATGCGAAAAAAATGCGATTAGAGGGGCTGCTAGCTGGTCCCGCACATCTCGGGAATCCCTTTGGGGGCAAAATTGTCTGGGCCCACAGCTTTTTTTTGGTTTAAGGATTTTTAAAAAGGAAAGCCCCCTCCTCCTGCCTTTATTGTCACCACTGACATTTTTGACACAGTTCTTGCAGCAGCCAAGGGGGGCCCCCTTGCTGGACAGAACTTGCATTTTGGAGAAAGTGTTCCAAAGAGGTCCGCCTTCTCTTGACTACATAGGGGTGGTCCCACCTGTCGATTTGATGTGGAATGATTCCTGGCAGATAACCTTGTCACCCCTTGACCAGGGACCACCAGGTTTTGGAGCCAAAACCTACCTGATGCTAGCTTTCTTTTAGTGCCCCCAAAACCTCCCTTTAGCAATGGCCCACTTTTAAATGTCACCCTATCTACAGGCTTCCTGTGCAATTTCCTGTTATAGGGGGTAGGATTCTTTTATACTTCGCCATCTTTGTACTTAGCAGTAGCAGCCTCTACAACGAAAGCCAAACCAAGGCTTGCCGTAGGCTCGTCACATATTGTGCGGTGAGGATGTTCTTTTTGTAGATTAAGGATGTGTCCATTGAGCTTTCACTTGGTTTTTCAAACCCCCCTTGGAAAGAGCTCCAATCGGTGGTGGGAGCTCCAGAGCGAAGGCTTGGCCAATTACTCCTTTCCCCATTTCCAGCCTGCAGTTGTTGCGTGTGGATCTCTCTACCTCGTTCTGTTGGATCTTAAGTTTCTAAAAACACCTGTGGTCAGATGATCCAACATAGCCGAGGGTTGACAAGTGACTATGCTTCTGCCAGATCTCACACTATTTCCTGCTTCCCCTCTCTCTTCCCCCTCCCCCCCTCTCTCGCATCTCCCTCTGCTCTCCCCCCTTTACCCCCCCTCTCTCCCCCACCTCTCTTCCCCCCCTCTGCTCCCCCTCTCCCCCTATCTCCCCCTCTCTCCCCCCCTCACCCCCCCCCTCTCTCTCCCACCCCTCTCCCCCCTCTCTCCCCTCCCCCCTCTCTCTCCCCCCTCTCTCCCCCCCTCTCTCCCCCCCCCTCCTCTCCCCCTCTCTCTCCCCCCTCTCCTCCCCCCTCTCTCTCCCCCCCTCCTCTCCCCCCCCCCTCCTCCCCCTCTCTCCCCCCCCCCCCCCTCTCCTCTCCCCCCCTCTCCCCCCTCTCTTCTCCCCCCCTCCCCCCCTCTCTCTCCCCCCCTCTCTCTCCCCCCTCTCTCCCCCCCCTCTCTCCCCTCCCCCCTCTCTCTCCCCCTCCTCCCCCCTCCTCCTCTCCTCTCTCCTCTCTCCTCTCCCTCCCCTCTCTCCTCCCCTCTCTCCCCTCCTCTCTCCTCCTCCTCTCTCCTCCTCTCCTCTCTCCTCCTCCTCTCTCCTCCTCCTCTCTCCTCCTCCTCCTCTCTCCTCCTCCTCTCCCTCCTCTCCTCCTCCTCTCTTCCTCCTCTCCTCTCTCCTCCTCCTCTCTCCTCCTCCTCTCTCCTCCTCCTCTCTCCTCCCTCTCTCCTCCTCCTCCTCTCTCCTCCTCCCCCATAAGCTACAAGTGTCTATTGCCGTTTGCTCTTGTGCTAGCTCCATTTTCTCTCATAAGAGTGACGAAAGAAAGGATAATAAGCCTTATGGTTAGTTTAGGAGAAACATTGTGCACAAGCAAGCAGTTGTTTATTTCCGTGAACTTTTGCAGCTAGTACACGAGAAAGAAAGGTTACGAAAACTATGGCTTGGGTAGCATAAAAAATAGGTTGAGCATATGTATATTGATGGATGGGTTTGAGTAGGCATGCCCAGTTTGGGCCAACAGGCCTGCTGCAGTGTTCCTCCTTTCTTATGTAATAGAGAAGGGACACTGAAACATGCCTTCTCAATTCCATCCATATACATTTGCCCAACCTAGTTTTTATGCTACCCAAACCATAGCTTTCGTAACCTTTCTTTCTCAGGTATCAGCTGTGAATGTTCTCAGAAATTGTTGATATTAGTGTCGGCTGTTCTCTCTTGCTTGTGTTAGCACTTCTACCCAGAAGGTTCCTGTAATTCAACATCACAGTTATTTTAATGATTTTATTATTTTTGTATCTCATTTTTTACTTTTTTTGCTGTTAGTACTGTATCTTATACTGTAAGGTTTAGAAGAAACACTGTTCACGACACAAACAGTTGTTTATTTCCAAGAACATTTGCATAAAAAACATTATGTTCAAATTCACTTCGAATGTAAGAAAATACACGAACAGAAAAGTACAGTTGAAGTAAATGGTATAAAATACCAACACAATGGTAAAATAAACACATACGCAGTATGTGATCCTTTATTGACTACGTATTTATAGGAAGGAGTTGGGTGGATAATGCTGAGAGAGGCTGATCTGAGTGGGACTTGCACATGAGTAAATAGTTATCAAAGAGGAAATAGTATGGTGATACCGACAAGATGTGGAAAAAGACACCATGTCTCGGAACTTCAGGAGGATTTAGACAAACTCAATTCATGGTCAGAAAAGTGGCAGATGCAGTTCAATGTAGATAAATGTAAAGTTCTTAAACTTGGAAATATTCATAACTCTAGCACCTACCAGCTTAATAATGTTGAACTTAGCCGTACAGAATGCGAAAAGGATTTGAGGGTTATGGTAAGCAGCAACTTTAAACCGACAGCAATGCCTAAGCATACATAATAAGGCAAATAGATTACTGGGATTTATATCAAGAAGTGTAGATGAATGTTTCAGAGAACCGACGTGTTGATTAATTAGACACGTGCAACACTTGGGTATCTCCAATGACGAAATGCTTTGCCACACAGTGGCTTCATCAGTCCATACAAAGCAGAATGGTGAAGAACAGGAGGAGTTTGAGGTAGTCAGTCCCTCAGCCTTGAGTCGATGTAGTCAGTCCATCAATCTCTGAAAAACTCCATTCAGAGATCCTGCTGGTTTGTTCCGAGAACAGGTCTCCTACCACTATCAAAATCTGACTGCAGTAGAAGTAGTATGTTACATCTAAATTTCTTCTATCAGATATTTTGTTCTTTATATCCAGAATCTGTTATATCAGTTTTATTTTTTCTCACTAAAACTTTGCTTATAGGAATGGAGTGTAAGTGATGAACAAGCTGAAGAAGACAATGACAGTAATTCTGTGGTAGCAGAGTCATCTTTAGACCGCCTAGCCTGTGGTCTTGGTGGTAAAACTGTATTGCCACACATAAATGCAACATTATCCCAGATGTTACAGAGTGATAACTGGAAGTGTCGACATGCTGCACTAATGGCAATATCAGCTGTTGGAGAGGGATGCCATAAACAAATGGAAGGGATGTTACCACAGGTATGTAGTGAACGGCTGGTATTTACTACTGTCACTAGCACTGCAGAATTTTCACTCAGACCTGAACTGCCCATTTATGGGCTCAGCCCTTATTGCAAGGTCCTCTTAATAGCTTCAAAGTAGTTATTGCGAGTTGATTGATGTGAGTTTGACGGTGTTGTCCTGGCCCTGGTCTTTTTGGGTTGGTGACCCGAAAAAGTTCACTTGATGCTTGTCAGGGATTAAAGTATAATTTCATAATTCATATCTATTTTTACCACAGTTTAAGAATGCCTTTGCTTTAGTTTTCACCATTGTACATAATTATTTCTTTAAATTTTTAAAGATATTGGGTTTTGAAATTTATTGTCGGTAACCTCTTTTGTGACTTCTTAAATAAGCATATTTAAGCATTAGATAAAAATATTAATTTATTCATAAAATAGATTAGCATCTACTTTTGATAAGTAATAAGGGCACTGTTTATATAGTTTAAAGCAGTGAGTGCATCTTATGAAAATACTGTACTCATATATTTTAATTTGTTAAAAAGTTTTTTTGGGCAGATGTTCAGGTGGGTAAAGGTAGAAAGTTGAAGTGAATATAGGTAAGAATAAGGTGATGAGGGTATCAAACGATTTAGATAGAGAAAAATTGGATATCACATTGGAGGGAGGGAGTATGGAAAAAGTGAATGTTTTCAGATATTTGAGAGTTGATTTGTCAGCAGATGGGTTTATGAAGGGTGAGGTAAACCATAGAATTGATGAAAGAGAAAAGTGGTGCATTGAGATATCTGTAGAAATAAAGAACATTATCCATGGAGGCAAAGAAGGGAATGTACGAGAGTATAGTGGTACCAACACACTTATATGGGTGTGAAGCATGGGTTGTAAGTGCTGCAGCGAGTAGGAGGCTGGAGGCATTGGAGATGTCATGTCTAAGGGCAGTGTGTGGTGTAAATATTATGCAGAGAATTTGTAGTGTGGAAATTAGGAGGTGTGAAGTTACTAAAAGTATTAGAGGGCTGAAGAGGGGCTGTTGAGGTGGTTTGGTCATTCAGAGAGAATGCAACAAATTAGAATGACTTGGAGAGCATATAAATCTATTGGGGAAGGAAGGCTGGGTAGGGGTCATCCCTGAAACGATTGGAGGGAGGAGGTTTTGTGAGTAAGGGGCTTGGATTTCTAGCAAGCATATGTGAACGTGTTAGGTAGGAGTGAGTGGATTTTGGGACCTGACAAGCTGTTGGAGTGTGAGCAGAGTAATATTTTGTGAAGGGATTTAGGGAAACTGGTTATCTGGACTCGAGCCCTGGAAATGGGAAGTACAGTGCCTGCACTTTAAAGGAGGGGTGTAAGATATTGGCAGTTTGGAGGTACATCTAAACTGTCGTATCTGAGCGCCTCTGCAAAGACACTGATTTTGTTAGTGATGGTAAAAGTGTTGAATGATAAAGAAAGTTTCTTTCTTTCTTTCTTTCTTTCTTTTTCTTTCTTTCTTTTTTTTTTTTTTTTTCTTTCTTTCTTTCTTTCTTTCTTTCTTTCTTTCTTTCTTTCTTTTTCTTTCTTTCTTTCTTTCTTTTTCTTTCTTTTTCTTTCTTTTTCTTTCTTTTTCTTTCTTTTTCTTTCTTTTTCTTTCTTTCTTTCTTTCTTTCTTTCTTTTCTTTCCTTTCTTTCTTTCTTTCTTTCTTTCTTTCTTCTTTCTTTCTTCTTCTTTCTTTCTTTTTCTTTCTTTCTTTCTTTCTTTCTTTCTTTCTTTTTTCTTTTTTTCTTTCTTTCTGGGTCATCCTTCCTCAGTGCGAAGCGGCTGACGTGTTGAAAAAAAATGGCCCTATGTATATTCTTTCAACAAACTGACCATATCCCACCAAAGCAGGGTAGCCCAAAAAGAAAAACCTAAGGTTCTCTTCTTAACTTGAGTACTTAATGTGTAGTGGAGGAGGAGTTACTAGCCTCTTGCTCTCAGCATTTTAGTTGCCTCTTATGACATGCATGGCTTACAGAGGAAGAATTCTGTTCCACTTCCCCATAGAGACTGTATATTCATTGTGTTAAAAGTTAATATACAGTACTTTCTTATGTTGGAAATGTTTATCATTTGTTTCCTCCACAGATTATGGATGCAGTAATTAGATTTCTACAAGATCCTCATCCCAGAGTTCGTTATGCTGCTTGTAATGCAATTGGTCAGATGGCAACAGACTTTGCACCCATTTTTCAGAAAAAGTTTCATGAAATGGTTGTTCCAGGGCTTTTGCATGTCATGGATGACGGTGTAAATCCACGTGTTCAGGTTAGATTTTTTTTCATGCTATTTTTTTTATTCTCTGGTAATAAAAATATTATTGTTGTATATGTTGACTTCTCACAAACAAGTGCCAGAATTTGTATTGTTTAATGATGAAAGATGTGTGGAAAGTGAAGAGAAAGATTGTTAATAAATCATCCTAGTTCAGTAAAAACAGTGACAGAAGTAAGTGATAAAGGTTGGGCTTTCTGGCACAAGCAATAAAAAAAAGCTTGAGATGTGGGTCATATACTTGGTTTTTTAGTGACTTAAGTTAGTCAACTGTTAGCTGAATAATGAATTTCACTGAAAATATAGAATGCTAAAGTATAATAGTAAAAGTTTGTTTCTAGATATATTAGACAACTCAAGTCAGCTAGATGGGTGCCAACTGTCAACAGGCACCTTAAACTTATCATTTGTGCAAAATGTGGGTGGATCGACACAGTGATGTAAATCGATATATTAGAAAATAAAGAACAAATAAAACTATAGAATCATGGGAAGGGGAGGAAGAGTGGCAAATGTAACTCAGGGCTCTTAGCCACTTGCAAATACAGTGGACCCCCAACTTACGATATTAATCCATTCCTGAGTGCCCATTGTAAGACGAAATGATCGTAGGTTGAATTAATTTTCCCCATAAGAAATAATGGAAATCAAATAAATCCGTTCCTGACACCCCAGAGTATGAAAAAAAAAATTTAACACATGAAATACACATTTTCCTACACAAACAAACAAGGAGACATGCATAATACTGTATATTATTGTGTAATGAACAATAAATGACACCTTTATTGAAGATCTGCTGATATGGGATGGGAGGAGGGGAGGTGATGTAGGTAATTTTTTGGAAGGGGAATCCCCTTCCATGAGGACTTTAGGTAGAATATCCTTTTCTGGAGTTACTTCCCTTCTTCTTTTAATGCCACTGGGAACAACTTGTCACTGGACGTCTGTCGCACCAAAAATCTTCCAATAGAGCTCTGTACCTCTCGTTCCTTTAAGAGTTTTCTAAAGTGGTTCACAACATTGTCATTGTACAGGTTGCCAACACAGCTTGCAATAGCTGTGAGAGTGGTTTTCATCCATAAAGGTTTGCACTTCAAGCCACTTTTCACATTTCCTTAATCTTTGAAGTAGGCAACTTCTTCAGTTTCTCTCCCTTCCTCTGAAGCAGTTTCCTCAGGTCTGGCCTCTTGCTGTTGCAGATGCTCTTGCAGCTCGTCAGTGGTTAGTTCTTCATCGTCCTCCACCAACTCTTCCACATCTTCCCCACTAACCTCCAACCCTAAGGACTTCCCCAATGCCACAATAGATTCCACAACTGGCATAGGCTCCCGAGGACCTGCCTAGTATGGGCCAACAGGCCCATACTAGGCATGTTCTTAAGGTCCAATTTCTTTTCCAGGAGGTAATTTTTCACAGTGGGGGCAAATACATGGTGAAACCAGTCATAGAAAAAGTCCCTAGTGACCCATGCTTTACTGTTGGCCCTCCACATCACACACAAATTACCCTTGAGGACATTGTTTTTCCTGAACACACTGGGAGTTTGAGTGATAAACCAATAAAGGTTTCACTTTGTAATCACCACTAGCATTACCACACAACAAGAGAGTAAGCCTGTCTTTCATAGGCTTATGTCCTGGGAGTGCCTTTTCCTCCTGAGTTATGTAGGTCCTGTTTGGCATTTTCTTCCAAAATAGGCCTGTTTTGTCATAATTAAACACTTGTCCAGGTTTCAATTCTTCACTATCTGTGTGCTCCTTGAATTCCTTCACATATTTTTCAGCCTCTTTTTGGTCTGAACTGGCAGCCTCACCATGCCTTATCACACTATGTATGCCACTATGATTCTTAAATCTCTCAAACCAACATTTGTTGGCCTTAAATTCACTCACAGCACCACTAGTTGCAGGCATTTTTTTATTTAAATCATCATGCAACTGCCTTGCCTTTTCACATATGATCGCTTGAGAGATGCTATCTCCTGATACCTGTTTTTTGTTTATCCACACCAGTAACAGTCTCTCAACATTTTCAAGCACTTGCAATCTGTGTTTCGTGAAGATACTTGCACCTTTTGCAACAACAGCTTCCTTGATTGCCTGTTTGTTGGCCAGGATAGTAGATATGATTGATTGGGGTTTGTTGTACAACCTGGCCAGCTCAGAGGCACGCACTCCACTTTCATACTTATTCACTACCTCCTTCATTTCAGTAGTAATTTTCACCCTTTTTTATCACAGGGTTGGACTAGAAGCTTTCTTTGGGCCGATGGTGGCTTATTTAGCAGTTAGAAGCACTTAAAAATAGAAAATCAAATCTATGTGTGGGAGCGACCGCTCTGGCTTGTAAACAATGGCACACTAACTGAAGGCAGGCCAGCTGAGGCACACTCAGGCCACACAGACACGTGGATGTGTACCGGACGAATGCTGTAGGTCGAGTTTTTCAACGTACATCGGGGTCAAATTTTTACGCTTAAACGCATCGTAGGTTGGGGACATCATACGTCGGGGTTCCACTGTATTATACAGTGAACTCCTGGTATTCGATATTAATCCGTTCCTGAGAGCTCATCGAATACCGATAATATCGAAAACCGAATCAATTTTCCTCATAAGAAATAATGGAAATCAAATTTATTCGTGCAAGACACCCAAAAGTATGAAAAAAAAAAATTTACTACATGAAATATTAAGCTGAATGCAATAGAATAATTACAATAACAATAAAATAATTGACACTTACCTTTAATGAAGATCTGGTGATGATTGATGGGATGGGAGGAGGGGAGAGGTGTTAGTGTTTAGAAGGGGAATCCCCTTCCATTAGGACTTGAGGTAGCAAGTCCTTTTCTGGGGTTACTTCCCTTCTTCTTTAATGTCACTAGGACCAGCTTGAGAGTCACTGGACTTCTGTCGCACAACATAACTGGCAGCCTCACCATGCCTAATCACACTATGTATGCCACTACAATTCTTAAATCTTTCAAACCAACCTTTGCTGGCCTTAAATTCACTCACATCACCACTAGTTGCAGGCAACTGCCTAGCCTTTTCACAAATGATTGCTTGAGAGATGCTCTCTCCTGCTATCTGTTTTTCATTTATCCACACCAGTAATAATCTCTCAACATTTTCTAACACTTGCGGTCGCTGTTTTCGTAATCACAGTTGCACCTTTTGCAAGAACAGCTTCCTTGATTGCTGTTTTCCTGGTCACTATAGTAGAGATGGTTGATTGGGGTTTATTATACAACCTGACCAGCTCCGACACACGCACTCCACTTTCGTACTTTGCAATTATCTCTTTCTTCATTTCATAAGTCATTAGTGACTTTTTTCTCGAAGGGTTGGCACTAGAAGCTTTCTTGGGGCCCATAGTGACTTATTTTGCAGAAACAAGCACCAAACACAGTGATAATATGGATAATATGAAATGTATCAAATGTATCCTTAGATGCGTGCGCACTGGCTGACTTGTAAACACTGGCACACATGGGGCAGTTCAGACCACACGTGGACAGGTCTCGTACGAATCGTATCGAATACCGGGTTTTCAATCGAATACCGAGGAAAATTTTTTGCGATATAATGCATCGAATACCGGGGTCCACTGTATATAAACTTAATGAAAGTTCTATTGGCAGGAGTAAGACTTCCAGGTAAAACTGCATTAAATTTTTGAGCTGTGTGGTACTGGAAAACCCATCCACAAAATTATGGTAGATAATCTAGTGATTGGTTATTCAGTGTTTAACATTATCCTGTAACCTTGGTATATCCAGCACTTACTGACAATTCTGATAAGGAATACACAAAAACGACCATAAAAGTGTCCATCCAGTGTGATTGCTCCTAAGAATTGAAATGATAGTACACTAAACCCCTCTCATAAGGCATGAGTAATGTTAATGAAAAATTGCATGTACAACATAAGGAAAAATTAAGGGTATGTTCCAGATGCCTCAAAAATTTATTAACAAAATTTTTGCTATCTTACTAGGTAAAAATTACTACACTAAACTTGTTTCACATTGTGAAAGTTAAGACACACGTGCAACATTTGGTTATCTTTATTGTAGATGCTTTGCCATCCAGTGGCTTTATCAATACAGATTCTAGGACATAAGAAGAAGACGCATTGAACTACAGTGGAACCTCAAATATCGAACTTTCTTTGTTCCAGACGGCTGTTCGAGTGCCATTACCGAACAAATTTATTCCCATCAGGAATAATGTAAATTAGATAAGTTCATTTCAGACCCTCAAATGTACGCTTATAAAAACACTTACAAAAATACACTTACATAATTGGTTAAGTGCTTTTAGAAATATATATTTGATATTAGCAGTTTGGAGGGATATGTTGTGTATCTTTATACATATATGCTTCTAAACTGTTGTGTTCTGAGCACCTCTGCAAAAACATTGATTATGTGTGAGTGAGGTGAAAGTGTTGAATGATGATGAAAGTATTTTCTTTTTGGGGATTTTCTTTCTTTTTGGGCCACCCTGCCTCGGTGGGAGACGGCCAACTTGAGAAAAAAAAATTTGAGGGTCTGAAATGCACTAATCTAATTTACATTATTCCTGATGGGAATAAATTTGTTCGGTAACGGCACTCAATCAGCCGTCTGGAACAAAGAAAGTTCAATATTTGAGGTTCCACTGTATATACAAAAGATAATGTAATCAGTCCCTCAGCCTTGGAGTTGGTGTTGCACATGTGTCTTAACTTTCATCTTGTTGTTATTTCATACCTTTCTTGCACTTACTTCACATTGTTAGCAGTTACTTAAAACATTTGAAATAGGAAGGTTTTGTGTGAGTCTGTTTGGCTGATTTGGTACATCTCAACATCATTAAAGTAAACCTGCATTTCCTCACCAAATTGTAGCAAGTGAGGATTTTTTCCACACTTATATCTAGCAAATATGTATATAAATATAAGTGCATTTGAAAAAGTACTAACTTAGAAAAATGCAGTAATCTTGTAATAAAATGTTGAGACTGTATGGGAGCAGTGGAGATCTGCTTTGGCTCACCTTCATGTGATCTGTTCTTGAAGGGTCCATAATGTTATGTTTAGTGAAGGAGAGCATAAGAAGTTTTACACAACATTTTGGTCAAAGCAGAGCCTCACATTACAGGGGATTGAGGAAGTTGATGTGTGTCTCCATCTATATTTCTTGTTTCATTAGTCTGCTCTGAGACTGAGTACTTCCTGACATCCCTGTGATTAATCTGTCTTAATTTCCAGCTGTGTGCCCAAGTACCTTTTTCCTGCCTGTCCCAGTCTTCCCTATTATTTCCTCTTTAGAACTGTATGTTATGTCTCTTAGTCCATCTGTCCTCTAAGGTCATCAGATTTAATCCCTTTAGCCTTTATAAATAGCTCATACCCCTTTGCTCTGGAACTAGTCTCATTTCTTGCTTCGGCACTTTTTCTGGTTTCATAACATGCTTCCTTAGGTGTGAGTTCCATACTGGTGCTTCATACACAAAGATGGATCTGACATATGTTGTGTAGTGCTTGGAATGATTCCCTGTTGAGAATTCTGAAGGCCACTCTGATTTCTCAGGTCAGCATTGACAGCAGAGGTTATTTGGTTGATGTGAGCCTCTGGTGATATACTAGGCACTATGCTCTTTCTTATTTTTTCCTCATTCTTTTTCTTTATCACTTTCTATTTTTCTATCTATCTTTCTCTCTTTTCTCTTTCTTTTTCTTTTTTATCTCATTCTATATCTTTCTTTTCTCTCTAAAAATAAAACATATAGGCTGTTAACCTTGTACATGAAATTTTCACTTTAAACAGGCTCATGCAGGGGCAGCTCTTGTGAACTTCTCAGAAGTGTGTCCGAAGAATATCCTCACTACATATCTGCCTACAATTATTGCTAAATTGGAGAGCATTCTTGCTGCAAAGTTCAAAGAGGTAAGGATATATATATATATATAAAGATTTTAATTGTGATCTTTTCATTCTTGATAAATGAATAGTGCAACGTATTAACTGTTTTGCATCAGGGTAGTATACCCCGAAGAAAGAAATTTCTGCATCATCACTCTTCCTAGATGTCTGTTTACTTCTGTAAAGACACCACAGTTCATATTGAACTAACATCCTCGCCTATTCTTCAACATGCAAACATTTCACTTTCACTTCCAGAACACAAATGTAGCTAACTAGTTTCTGAATCACTTCATAGATGTTACACATATTAATCACAATCTAACAGTGTGAGGCCTGGTAACAGACCAGACTGTGGGGGGCATTGATCCCCAAAACTCTCTCCATATTTTTTTTTTTCCACAGCTGTTTCCCATCGAGGCAGGGTGACCCAAAAAGAAAGAAAGAAAAACTTTTGTCATCATTCAACACTTTCATCATCACTCATACATAATCACTGTTTTAGCAGAGGTGCTCAGACATGACGGTTTAGACGTCCCTCCAAACTGCCAATATCCCAAACCCCTCCTTTAAAGTGCAGGCATTGTACCTCCCATTTCCAGGACTCAAGTCTCGCTAACTGGTTTTCATAAACCCCTTCACAAAATATTACCCTGCTCACACTCCAACAGCTAGTCAGGTCCCAAAAACCATTTGTCTCCATTCACTCCTATCTAACACACTCAAGCAAGCTTGCTGGAAGTCCAAGCCCCTTGTCCACAAAACCTCCTTTACCCCCTTCCCTCCCTCCAACCTAATCAAGGACGACCCCAACCCCGCTTTCCTTCCTTGACAGATTTATACGCTCTCCATGTCATTCTGCTTTGATCCATTCTCTCTAAATGACCAAACCACCTCAACAACCCCTCTTTAGCCCTCTGACTAATACTTTTATTAACTCCACACCTAATTTCCACACTCCAAATTTTCTGTATAATATTTACACCACACACTGGCCTTAGACAGAACATCTCCACTGCCTCCAACTGCCTCTTCACTGCAGCATTTACAACACAAGCTTCACACCTATATAAGAGAGTTGGTACCACTATACTTTCATACATTCCCTTCTTTGCCTCCATAGATAACGTTTTTTTATTTTTTTTGTCTCCCCACATACCTCAGCTCACCACTTCGCTTTTTTCCTTCATCAATTCTATGGTTAACTTCATCCTTGAAAACCCATCCACTGACACGTCAGCTCCCAAATATCTGAAAACATTCACTTCTTCCATACTCCCTCTCTCCAGTGTGATATCCATTTTTTCTTTCTAAATAGTTAGATATCCTCATCACCTTAATCTTATCTATGTTCACTTTCAACTTTCTACCTTTATACACCCTACCAAGCTTATCAACTAACCTTTGCAACTATTCTTTGGAATCTCCCATAAGCACAGTATCATCAGCAAAAAGTAACTGTGTCAACTCCCATTTTGTATTTTATTCTCCATAATTTAATCCCACCCCTCTCCCCAACACCCTAGCATTTACTTCTTTTACTACCCCATCTATAAATATATTAAATAACCATGGTGACATTACACATCCCTGTCTAAGACCTACTTTTACCGGGAAGTAGTCTCCCTCTCTTCTACACACCCTAACCTGAGCCTCGCTATCTTCATAAAAACTTTACAGCATTTAGTAACTTACTACCTATTCCATATACTTGCAACATCTGCCACATTGCTCCTCTATCCACTCTACCATATGCCTTTTTTAAATCTATGAATGCAGTGAAAACTTCTCTATCTTTACCTAAATACTGTTCACATATATGCTTCAATGTAAACACTTGATCTACACATCCCCTACCCACTCTAAAGCCTCCTTGCTCATCCAAAATCCTACTGTCATACCTCTTAATATTTCAGTAATAACCCTACCGAACACTTTTCCTGGTATACTCAGTAAATTTAAAGATTGGATATCAGATTGGAGGGAGAGAGTATGGAGGAGGTGAATGTATTCAGATATTTGGGAATGGATGGGTCTATGAAGGATGAGGTGAATCATAGAATTGATGAGGGGAAAAGGGTGAGTGGTGCACTTAGGAGTCTGTGGAGACAAAGAACTTTGTCCTTGGAGGCAAAGAGGGGAATGTATGAGAGTATAGTTTTACCAACGCTCTTATATGGGTGTGAAGCATGGGTGATGAATGTTGCAGTGAGGAGAAGGCTGGAGGCAGTGGAGATGTCATGTCTGAGGGCAATGTGTGGTGTGAATATAATGCAGAGAATTCGTAGTTTGGAAGTTAGGAGGAGGTGCGGGATTACCAAAACTGTTGTCCAGAGGGCTGAGGAAGGGTTGTTGAGGTGGTTCGGACATGTAGAGAGAATGGAGTGAAACAGAATGACTTCAAGAGTGTATCAGTCTGTAGTGGAAGGAAGGCGGGGTAGGGGTCGGCCTAGGAAAGGTTAGAGGGAGGGGGTAAAGGAGGTTTTGTGTGCGGAGGGCTTGGACTTCCAGCAGGCGTGTTTGATAGGAGTGAATGGAGACAAATGGTTTTTAATACTTGACGTGCTGTTGGAGTGTGAGCAAAGTAACATTTATGAAGGGGTTCAGGGAAACCGGCAGGCCGGACTTGAGTCCTGGAGATGGGAAGTACAGTGCCTACACTCTGAAGGGGGGGTGTTAATGTTGCAGTTTAAAAACCGTAGTGTAAAGCACCCTTCTGGCAAGACAGTGATGGAGTGAATGATGGTGAAAGTTTTTCTTTTTCGGGCCACCCTGCCTTGGTGGGAATCGGCCAGTGTGATAAAAAAAAAATTTTTTTTTACAATCTCTCTTGTTCCCCTTCTCTTTATAGAAAGGGACATACAAGCTCTCTGCTAGTCCCTAGGTACCTTCCCCTCTTTCATACATTTATTAAAAAAAAAATACCAACCACTCCAACACTATATCCTCCCCTGCTTTTAACATTTCTGTCACGATCTCATCAGTTCCAGCTGCTTTACTCCTTTCATTCTGCGTAATGCCTCACGCACCTCCTCCACACTCGCATCCTGCTCTTCTGCACTCCTAAAAGATGTTATACCTCCCTGACCAGTGCATAAAATTGCCCTCCCTTTCTTCATCGACATTTAACCTTTTGACTGTCGGAACCCCAAATCCTGAAGTCTCTCCTGGTGTCGAAAAATTTTTTGGGAAAATTTTTTTTTTTTTTCTTATGAAATGATAAAGAATCTTTAACCAATGGTAATGATACCAAAAGTACAAAATTTGCTCGAAAACGTACAGAATTACACTCCCGCGAAGTTAGCGATCTCGGCATTATATACACATCGGCGATTTTGCCGAATTTGAGCCCTATTTTCAGCCAATTCCATTGTTCCAGTCAATGAAACTCATAGCTATTTCTTTAAAACTCCATTTTTTTCTATCAATTGAGTACAAGAAACTGTCCATTTATCGATTTCAACTACCCAATCAAGTGGTCAGAATTTGGCAATTTGGCCAATTTCACGCAAATTAAAAAAATGCCAATTTCAAAATAGGGTCCAGAATAAACAATGCAGACATTCTTGGCACTAAAATAACATTTCATCTGTTCATTAGTCATGTCTCCAGGCCCCTCTTATATTACTCTTGGTTTCTATTTTGATTTTTTATATACACAAAAAATAGAAGATTTACTGTTATGCAGTCTACTGCATTATTGCAAAATGGTGTAAATAATATCAGTGCACTAGTGAAAATATTAGACTCCTCAGTCGATGTGTATTGGACCTGTGGTATGATTTGCTTACTCTTGAGCATTGGTAAAAGTCGAACATTTCCGCTACTTTGAGCTCAATTTCTAGGTCATTTTCATCGTGAAACTAATCAAAATCATCTCTTTCTGTAATATGTCTTCCATTCTATCAAATGAGACCAAGAAAATGAGAATATATCCATAAATACTATAGGAAAATACACCTCAAAGTCGATGTTTTAATCCAAAAACACTTTTTCTCTCATGCACTGCCTGCTGCAGGTTTTTTATACAGTGCACACTGACCACACACACACCCAGTCTCTCAAATGTGGACCTGCCAGCTTTCTCCTGCTTGATTTGAAGCCGCTAGAATTTTTGAGTGTATATACGTCCGAAACACTGGCTCATAAGACGTATACATACGGCCAAAACAGTCAGAGTTAAAAGATCCTCAAAATATTCCCACCATCTACCCAATGTCTCCCCGCTCTCATTACTAAACTCCCCCCCTCTGTTTTTTTAA